GCCGCGACCCACCTGCCGCAGCTGCTGCAGCAGGAGGGCCCGAGGGCTGCCAGGCCGCCTCGCTTGCACGCAGGGTGCCCCGGAGGGCCGGCCGGGCCGCCTGGCCTGGGCTGCAGCAGGAGGGCCGGAGGGCCGGCCAGGCTGCCTGGCCACCTGGCCTGAGCGCAGGGTGCCCGGGAGGGCCAGCCCTTCATGGCAGTACGGGGCCTCTCCAGGAGGTCGGAGCTGGGGTTGCACACAGCAGCCTGCAGCCCCGGTCAGCCTCGGCGAGCAGCCTGCTTTCCGCGCAGTCCTTCCAAAGCGCCCGCGCCGGCTTTCAGCTCGCGCGGTGCGGAGAGGCGGAAATGCCGCGTTTGCACGAGGGAAACACATCCATGGCAGCGCACCAGAGAAAAGGGAGGGGAAGGGAACGAGCCTCTGAAAGCACGACGAAACGCTGCCCTTCAGCTGTATAGCCTGTAAATAGCGACTCCGGCGTGACAGCCAGCACCAAGCAATAGTTACATTGGTTACTGGAAGAAAACATGACCACAAAACATTATGTGTGTTATAAGTCACAGCTCCGAGTCACTGTGATCTAATCTGACAAGGCCTGTTTTAGGTTACACTGTGTTGGTGTGATGGGACATGAAAGCGTGTGCATTGACCTTTGTGATTAAAAATAGCACCCGTCCCACTTTTGTCACTAGTGACTCCGACCACGTCCCTTCAAGTTAAGATACGTAGGCATCTTTTTCCTCTCAAGGGAAATAAGAAGTAATAGTTTTGCCAAGCTCTACAAGAAGACAAGGTAGCTTCATAATATTATTTTAAGGTTAAAAAAAAAAAAAATCACAGGGCTGAATCAAGGTGAGGTAAGTATGGTAAGCGCAGTTTATCCACTTCTAATCTCTGTGATTTAGAGTTCACTCATTCTTATCCAATGGCCTGGAGCACCAAACAGGTGAGTTTATACTGCTTTGCTATTTATTACTGCAGCACTGCAATTCCTTTGCTAGTGGAAATGGAAGGAGACAAAGTCGCATTGATTTACCCGGCAGAATATCAAGCTTTTTAAAGTTGCTGAATCTTAACATTGGCAGGAATTGTAATTATTTCCCCTCAAGTGTATTTATGATTAGTAAAGACAGCAGCGGAGTGCAACTTATAATACAGCACTGCAAGCTGCTGTTTAAAATACTATGAGAACAACCTTCTACAAGCAATATCATCCCTCAAGAAAGATGATTGTATTTCAGCTGCAGCAAAGTCTCAATGCCCTGATATGGCAAATTATCCCTATATGGCAAAGCATCTACGCGCCTTCTAAAATTTAAGGCAGACAGAAATGTGAGAAAGGGGGAACTGCACGCAGGTCGCGCCACGCGCTGCATGGAGTCTGTGGCTTGTCTCCCAGCAGAGGCATCAGGGACTGGAGAGTCAGTATTTGAATAACAATGTGCTGCCACCCAAATTTGATTCTGCCTTAAAAGGATAGGAAAGATCCGAGCCACTGTGAAGCCATGGGTCCCTGGGTGAGTGAAGGGGAGGAGAAACTTCTTAAACTGAAGCAGCGTTTGACTCTGAAAGGAAAAATCCTCATCTGCCATCAACTGGGGAGCAATATTGCATATAAAAGGGTCGGTAAATCAGCTGGGGGCTAAATCTTTAACCATTTAAAATGTTTTCCCTTCCTCCCATCTTTCTCTGTTTTTCTCTAACAGGTGTTTAACAGTCATTTGCAATGATTGCTGTGGAGTAATGCTGAAGAGAAGTGGGATCTCCCAAGCCACAATTAGCCATGTAGGGCTGTACCGTGGGAGTAAGAGTTCTGGCAATGCCTTCAAGCCTCCACTAATGCCTGGAGCTGCACAGTCCTGCTGCCCTGGCTGCATGAAGGACCTTGAACCTCACAGCTAAGATGAGCAGAAGAGTGGGCATACATTTGGAGGGAAGGTAACCCGAGGCTTAGGAAAACAATAACACTATCCTGATATTATGGGGTACACTCCCAAAAGAAAAGGACTTCTGCAGTTCTGTAATTACGAACAGCAGCTTATAAAGTATAGGAGAGAAGTCTGAGGGATAGCAGAGATGTCTGTTCAATGCGCCATACAACTCTCTTGTTACATAGGATATGTAGCTAGGAATTTCAGGGCTGCACCGGACACAATACAATAGAGAGTGGTTCTCAACATCCTGAAGCAGCTGACAACCACAAGGATGAACCAGCCATCAAAAAAACCTGCCTTGCTTTAAGAATTTAAAAACTCAGGACAGATTCAACAGAGTTTTAACTTGTCTGCCACCGTGCCATAAATGAAACCCCCAATCGGAACAACAGGAGGCTAAATGCCAGGCAGCTGCCCCCATCTGTGCTTCCCATGGAGTAAACTAAGAGAATGCCCGCTGCGTGTCTTTAAGCTCTTGCAGTGTAATTTGTTAGAATTAGTGGGGGCGGCCAAGTTTGTTGTTGAGGAACACTTTTTGGTGTGAGGTTACTGTCAAGCTGTCAAAGCAAAGAAAAAAAGTTTTTTGTTTTGCAGCTCATTGCAAATAACTATGTAGAAAAGTTATTTTTCATCAGGTGCAAAAAGGCTGACCTTGCAGTGTGGGGAATAAAAGTACAAACAGTTTGAGGCAAACCCTCTGTTTCAGATTAGAAAGATATAGGCCTTGGCACCTACAGAATATGTATAGTATACAGGCATGTGCAGAATGAAGGCAAACCAAAACACACTGTTGAAACTGCGACTAATAAGCGCAAGCTTCAGAAATGCAAGTGTTCATCTTCTGTCTCTCAAGTTCCCTTCTTGCTTACATATGGAAGTTAACCTCACAAAATCACTCTTCCTTTCTTAGGGAATCCAGGGTCCTAGACTAGGCGGGGCGGGAAAACAAAAAAAAAAAAACCCAAAAAAACCCCCAAAACCAAAACTCAAAAAAAAGCAAAGTAGCAACTGTTACCAGGAAACTCAATTTTTACATTTCCTGACTTAGTTTGGTCTTGGTTGCAAAGGCAATGCTAAACTGATGGCAGTGTCTTTAAACACTCGTGCTAACATTTTTTGACTGTATAGCCCGATTCTGAGAGACTCAGAGTACTTACTGAGCTTGACGACAGCTGGAATAGGAGCAGCACTAAGCATTACTGAAACTGTAGCCCTCATTAGAGAATTTGCTGCTAGCGTGCACTGAACAAGACCTGCCCTAATTATGTGTGGAAAAACTACTGTTTTGTAGTTGTCGAGGATTTCTTTCCTCTGGGCACAAATGCTGCCTCCTTACAGGTCAGTTAGACTTTTTTTAGGAAGCTGTGAGGGTTGCTGTCAGGAGAGGACTGACCTTCAAAACAGTAAGAGGAATAACCTTCAAAAACTTACCACAATGAGTGCAACAACAGACAGTGTATAGTAGATTGAATCTCTCAAGAGACTCCACGACGACAGTGCAACGACCTGGGAAGACAGGCAAAGAGAGGATGTCAGCCAGGCTCTCACCAGCACGACGGCCACGCTAACAGCGTGTGCCAAAGTTAGGCCCATCATTCTGCGTAAGCCGGCCCCACGCATGCTAGGGCATGAAGAGGAGACCCCAGCCAGGAAACGCACCGGCTTTCTGCGGCTGCTGGAGGAACAGCCGCTAGGGAGATGGGGGAAGGCCAAATCTGAAGACTAAAAGGTTTGAGGTCATGGGCAGCAGACGACTTCCACGCAAAGTCACAGACATGCTAAATCACACCAGTGTTGTTAAAGCCATGGAAAGGGGAACCAAGTCCCAGGCATTTATGGATGACAGAGCAGTTTCCCACCAGCTCAGCAGGCTATCTGATATCCTTTTCCCCCTGAAAGCACTCCCATACACAGACGACACAGCCTGCAGCAGCCGTCCCTGCAGGCTGAGCTGTCCCCCAGGCCTGGCTGTGTGCTGCAGCCGGAGGCAAGCCAGCTAACCCGCGGGCAGGCGCGGGGCTGCCTGCCGCAGAGGGGACTGTGAGTGCTGCTGCTGTCAGGGCAGCGGGAAGGGGCTCAGCTTTACCAGCAGGACCCTTCTGTGCCAGCGCTGACGCTCAACGAGCGTCTTGATGGAGAATGGTCACAGGAGACAAAGAGCCCTGTTGAGTCCCCGGGACAGGACGTGACCACTCCTTCCACTCACCCCGCGATTCGCATCTGCTTCTTGTATTAATTTTCCCCAGCGTGGGACTCCTGCCTTCCTTGAGAGGGGAAACCAGCCTGAAATGCTGAGCAAGAGTGCAAGGTATGAACGGTCCAGTAGGCAGGGGAGCACCACCAGCCACAGTCCCCAGCTGCTGCCTAGCAATGGGGGTCCTCCCCATCCTTGTCCTACCACCACGTGCCTACGGCCACTGCGAGTCCAGCTGCTGCCATCTCATACACTGAGTTTCCAGGAATTTTAGACTGCTGGATGATGGGTTGTCCTTGCTAAAAATGTCAACTTGACCCATGCTGACTCATTCAGGGGAGGATAACTTGGACAACAGAAGTCGCACTGCAAAACAAGAGTCTGACAGCACAGAGCAGCCAGATCCCCAGCACACTGCTAGCCTGAACCTCGGCAGAGCCACAGCTTCACCCACCACACTGGCGAGTATCGCTACAGCTCCACGTGCATTTGCACAGGTTTTGGGACAGATACTCAACGTTCCAGCAAAGCGTTAAGAACAAAACCGAGGAATTTATATGCAACAGAGAATAAAATGGGATTGCTATGCAGTTCATTTCACTTGACGCCTTCCAAAGCCACGGAAACGAGGAGAAATCGAGCAATTCAGATCTTAGAACAAAAAAATACCAGTGAATAAGTTAGCCCATAACTTCATTAACAGCACTCAAAAGGGCAGATTAAAAGCAGTCACGTGGGGGTAACATCTTCAGTATGATTATATTTTTTGCAGCCCTAGGAAGTCCCCTCAGTAGAAGCTTCTCCTCATGTCTTTATTTCCCATTTCTGGAGCGCATTTCAAACACTGCGGGTCACATCCTTCACAGGTGTATGCCACAAGGAGGCAGACAGGAGGAGATGGCTAATTTACACTGATTTGCATCTGGCCCCTGAATGTACAAATGAGTTTCCTGACCACATCCTCCAGTCATGCTCGTGCATGAATTCAGTCAAACAAACAGTAACTTCGTTTTCATTTCTATGATATCTAAAAAAAGGTCCTATTTCAGAGTGCTAGCAAAAATAGTTTCCCAGATTTCTCTGCATAGTAACTCTTACAATATTGGAATTTTCCAGAACTGCTAGCAAAACAAATGCTGTAGAAAGATACTGACCAGTATACTTAAAAATCTCTGCAGCCTCTTAATACTATGGTTTTTTAAAGTGGATGTAATTTATGCCCAGTGTAAAGTCTCTTTATGCAACCATTGACATGTAAGAAACTCCTACCTAAAATAAAAAAGCAGGCCTTTAAAGTCCTCGAGTCAGATTAGACAATGCATTTCAATGCCTGTAGGGACAGATGAATGGAGATGCTTTATGATGGAAATTTCCAAATGTAGAAACCTGGAGCCGGGTTCATAATTCTGTTCAGAGATCCTTAATTAAATCTCACATCTTATAGATAGCGTGCCCCTTCATTTTGACTGAGCAATTTTTGTAAGAGAGTTTATAAAATAATTTGACATTATTCCACTCAGCTTTTATGATGCTGCTTACGGTCCCACTCTTCTCAGCATGGATGCTGGTGGGGATTTTATAGCTGTAAACTTAAGCTCTGCATAATGAAAGTTACAACATTTCTGAAACAAATGACAAACTCCCTATGAACAGACTTGCTGGCAACTGTCGCTCTTCTATCTAATAAACTCTCTGCTGGGTATAGGGGGTGCCACCATGCAGCACAGCCTCCCTGCCAAAGCAAGATGTCCCGGTTACTGTGAGTCAAGCTAGCGCCTCTCCTGTTCTTTGGTATTCTACAATTCTCTTGAAGGTGGCCCGCAATATTTTCCCAGGGAATTTTCCGCAGACACCTGAACGAGCACATTAAGATCCAGATGGTTAAATGCAGCTATCTAGCAGGGACCTAGTGCACAGAAGTCACAGATACTGTGGGAATCGCAAGGACTCTTGCATTGATTTCAGATTGGATTGAAGGGAACATGCTCGTGCCGGGACTTGTACAGGCTGCTCACGTTTCACAGACATCCTAGTAGGTCTCCCTGATGCAGTCACTACAGGGCAATTAAATCCCAGCTCTCCTTAGGGCCTGAGTCATTTAACTGAAGTCTTTGAACCATCTGATCACTGGGAAGAACAATCTGATATAGGAAAGTCATGCACGTAAGGTAACCATGCACGGAGGGTAAAAGGAGCTAATTAGCACTGAGGGAAATGGCAGTACTTTCAGCCTGCTGACAAGAATCGTGTAGTCTAGTTATAACTGTCAAGACCTTGAATGCCTAAGTTGTGCCATATAGTCTTGCAGCAACCAAGGACTCCACATAAATCTTAATGCACTGGAAACCACTTAAATTACAGTTTAGCAGACTTAAGGCAGAAAGGAAATCAGAGAAGCAATCAGCTTGGGTAAAAACGTGATCAAATTTAAGTTTCAAATCAGCAATACTGTAACCCAGCGGAGAGCTGGAGAGCCAAGCATAAGGAGGCAACTGTAAAACCACCGATTGCCAGGTTTCCTCTGAAGGAAGTACCCGAAATTCAAACCCCAGACAAGGGACCGTTAGCCCTCTCTTAACTACTACACGGGGGACTGAACCTGGCATTCCCAGAGCTGAAAGGAAGAGCTCTTTAGTCCAGGCTTAAATGAGAGCAACCCCCGACAAGTCCGACATAGATGAGGACCCACAGTGCACACTCACCTGCATGCCGCAGCATCATTCCTACGGGTAAAATGACCCATATTAGATATTTGGTTTCTCATTGGTAAACTTTTGCCCTGCAAACTCTTATGTACAGCATTTACTACTCAAAATGCTTATTTCCCTTTTTTAAGGTCTGCAGAGCGGAGAAATCAAGATTTTGTCAGTTTCAGTTTGATTTCTGCAGTTCTTAACTCCTGAAGCAGTGGCCCCGTGCAGCACACACAGTCTCTTCCACCTAGCGCACACATGGAGGTAAGCCGCCAGGGAGAAAAATCACTGAAAATCAGACACCGGCACCTGCTGCTCTTGGCACCTCAGTTAGCTCAGGGCACCCAGGGCCTCAGTGGCAACATACTCCATGCCCCATCCTAGAGCTGCACCATTTACCCTCTATAAAATTGATGCTTCTCTCTTCTGCTCTTCCAAATTATTTCTCTCCCCTTAGCAGTGCGGAAGCTCTTCTCCCATCCAGAAGAGACCTGGCGTCAGAGGGCATCCAGCTGGCTGTTTTACAGCCCGCTGCTCGCCTCCTCGCCCCGTTACGGTGACGGGCCCAAGATGAAGCGTGTGGTGCAGAACATCGCTGCTGCTACCTTAGTAAGGATGTTTGCGCGGCTGCTGCTGCCAACAAAGGTGGCAAGGCAGTCCAGAGGTGTATGCGCTGATGGATATTTTCTCTGCTCACCTTTCCAGGGGAAGCATGTCGAATGTTATCTGAGCACATCCACGTTCTTCAGGGATCTTTTTCAGTCTGAATTGTTCCAGGGCTTTTCCTCCTCTCCTGGCCCGTTCTTTGCTCGACATTCTTGGGCTGAATGGTCAGCTACAAACACTGCCTGGAAATGCCAGGCTTTGGAAGCAATCTTCCTAATCTTGTTTCTCTGTTACCCTCTGGCACAGAAGGTCTAGATTTTCAGGTATTAAGAGCTAATAACTTAATTTGTTAAAGTGGAGAGGCAGGGATGCTTGGGGGAGGGGGATTGGGCGAGGGTGTCAAAAGATTAAAGACAATCCCCGCGGCGATTAGCCTTAAGACTCTACAGAGATCAACAGAGATGTGCCGACGGTGAATCCACCATCAGTGCCTCACAGCTGGAAGCATCTCCTTCCCAGCTGAAGTGCACACGGTGTTGTTGACTTCTCGTGTGTAGTTTGGTTCATTGATGTTAGATCTTGACAGAGAGATTGCTGTTCAGCAGAATGTGTTTTTGGGCAAAGATGAAGGTTTCTCATGAGTTTTAAAGGGAAGTGGTAGAACATCTCTAATTCATTAGACATAGTTTTAATACAAACATATCTCCTACAGCACTGCACCACAAGCAAATGCTCCTCAGTGACTGACCACGGTTGCTCTTTTGGGTATGTCTTCCGTGCAGCTCTGGGGTCCAAGGGTGCTTCCAAATTAATCACCAGTCTGGAATTTTACTCCACAAAGTTTGAATGAGGCTGTACTGAGAGCCACAAAGCTTCTTCCAGGAGAAGCAGCTTTTTCTTTTAACAGTCAGCTACAGCCTGAAAGTTGACTGTAAACTGAGACAGCCTTACCGGGCAATGCTGCAAGACGGGTTAAAGAAAACAGGCAGCAAACACAAGCCCCTTCCCTGCTG